ATATTATTGACGCGACCAATTAAGGAAATGGGTAGCTTGGACCATTTTTCTATTAATTGCATAACTGATTCTGTAAGGGGGTTACAATTAGTTGGAATAATATTTTTTTATTGTGGGAGTAATTTTAACCCCTAGATAAGTAAATCCTTGTTTTGACGCTACATATGGAGTTGAAACTGGAGGATTGAGACCTTGTTTTTCTGATAAGTACATTATTTCAGATTTAGCATTATTTATCTTATAACCTGAAAAAATTCCAAAAGACTTAATTAAATCAGTTATTGTGGACATGGTGATCCCCAACTTAGAGCAAAACAGAATTATGTTGTCCGCATACAGGGCTATACGATGTTCTGAGCTCCCTATTCTTATACCGGTTATATTATTGTGCTTGCGAATTGCCATAGCTAAAGGCTTGATGGCCAGTGTGAACAACAGAGGAGAAGTGGGGCAGCCCTGCCTTGTCCCGATTCAGTTTAAAAGGAGATGAAGTTAAACTATTTGTTAAAATTTCTGCTTGTGGGTTTGAATATATTTACTTTACCCAGCTAAGAAATTTCCCTCCTATACCAAAGCGTTCCATGGCAGAAAACATACGTATATTGCCATTCTATCTTGTCAAAGGCCTTCTCTGCGTCCAGTGACAGGATAGCATTGTCTGGGCCTTCAGATTTTTCAAAAATTACATTAAACACCCTTCTGATGTTGTGAAAACCCTGTCTTCCTTGTACAAAACCATTTTGATCAGGGTGGACCATCATGGGTAGAAGCGGCTCCAACTTCCTAGCCAATACTTTACACAAAATTTTACATCATTGTTAATAAGAGAAATTGGCCTATAAGAGCCACATTGGGTTGCAGGTTTACCTGGCTTCAGGAGTAGGGAAATTATAGCTGTATTAAGTGAGGGAGATAGAGACCCTTTTTCAAAGGCTTCCTGATACATGTCAAGCATTGGAGGTATCAGTTTGGATTGAAAAATTTTACATATTTCAATTGGAATTTGATCAGGCCCCAGGCTCTTACCACTTTTCAAAGCGTCAGATAGTAATTGTGCATTAAGCTCAAAATCAAGTGATTTTAGGGATTCGTTATCTAGGGGAGTAAATTCTAATGAATCCAAGAAATGAGTTTGTGCCTGGGAACCTAAATCTGAGTAATCTGAGCTATACAGTTTGTAGTAAAAATTTGAAAATGTGTTATTTATTTCTTTTGGATCAGATGTTAACACCCCTTCAGCTATTTGAATTGAGTTTATTGCTTTATCTGCTTGTTCCTGTTTGATACGCCAGGCCAACAGCTTACTGGCCTTTTCACCTTGTTCAAAGTAGGATTGTTTCAGTCTTTTTTATTTTATTTTCCAGTCTGTGTTAAGTTGGGTTGAARGATTATGAAATAGTTGTGTCTCTATATTTTTAATAGATTTTTCAAGTTGGTCCAATTCTTGTTTATTAATTTTATGCTTAAAGCTGGTAAAACGAATCATTTGGCCTCTTAAAAATGCCTTAAATGCCTCCCATCTCACAGTTGCTGAGGTTTGGTTAGTGTTCAATTCGAAATACTTATCTATTTTTGTTCCAATAAATTGTATGAAATCTGGGTCCCTAAGCCAAATTGATTGTAAACGCCACTTTGATGAAAATGAAAGATTAGGAACCTTAAGATAGAATGACACTGGAGCATGATCAGATAATACTATACTGTCATACCAACTATTTGTAATATGTGGAACGAGATCAGCTGAGACTAAGTAATAATCAATTCTTGAAAATGTTTGGCAAGTACTAGAGTAGCACGAGAAAGATAACTGATTAGGATGCATATTTCTCCATATGTCAACCAAATTAAGATCTTTCATAAAGTTAAGTAATTCTTTCCTTGTTTGTGCATGAGAGGTGTCTTTACTGTGGATCTATCTAACGATGGTATAAGAGTACAGTTAAAATCACCTCCAATAATGTGACCTCCAGGAAGCATCGCTACAGATAGAAACAGGTGTCTAAAAAAAGCAGGGTTATCATTATTTGCTCCATAAACATTAATCAAATTTAGTTTCACAGATAAAATCACACATTGTACGATTAGATATCTACCATATTGATCCTCAGTATCTTTCTGGTTCCTCATATTATCCAACGATTAGACATTTTTCACTCAAGGCACTAAAATTTATTTCAGTGTGCTAGGTTTGGGCAATATTGGCAAAAAAATTAATCACAACTAATTATGGTATTTAGCCTATAATGATTAATATGACGATTAATCCCATGGAGTCCCTGGATGCCCCACATCCTAGTCACATGACTAATTTAAATCACTCTAGTGAGAAAGATTTTCTCTCCGTAAAAATCTGTTCCAAATTGTATCAAAATGCAGACTTCAAGCTAAACATAATTTTTTAAATTGTGTCGACAGACCAAGTAAAACCTGAGTTATGATTAATAAAATTGCAGACCTTTAAAAAAATGTTTTTCTTATTTGAAGCAGAGAGGAGCATCGAGCGGACTGACCAGGGAAATCTCTAGTCAGTCTACCTGGCATTAAAGGGATCCATGATTAGTTTTAACATTAGACTTTATTTGATAAACATATATTTTACCTGTAAAATAAAGACTGTAAAAATACTGTAGGCTGTTTAGTTTTGAACATTTTTAAAAATATATTTTAATATGGATGGAGCCATTTTATTTACACGCAAAGCATTCTGGGTAAATTATGACGTGGATAGGTCATCGGTGCGAGGCTGCTAGCGAGCTATATCCACCCTGAAGATTAATCTTGGACAATATCTGATGATCGACTCTTTTAAATGAAACCAGAGAGCGTTGACAGAGAGGAGAAGGTAGAAATGACTCAGCCTGGAACTGAAAATATGGATGGAGGACAACAGTTTAGCTTGTTTGTCGCACTAGCGCCGAGCTAATATATATAAGACAATATAGCGCGAAGGCTAACAGGCTAAGCTGAGGTTCTTCTTCCATGAAGCAGCTCTGTTGTCCTCCATCCATATTTTCAGTTCCAGGCTGAGTCATTTCTACCTTCTCCTCTCTGTCAACGCTCTCTGGTTTCATTTAAAAGAGTAGATCATCAGATATTGTCCAAGATTAACCTTCAGGGTGGATATAGCTCACTCACACCAAGGACCTATCCACGTCATAATTTACCCAGAATGCTTTGCGTGTAAATAAAATGGCTCCATCCGTGTTAAAATATATTTTTAAAACTTTACAAAAGTAAACAGCCTACAGTATTTTACAGTCTTTATTTTACAGTTAAAATAAATGTTTATCAAATAAAGTCTAATGTTACAACTAATCGTGAATCCCTTTAATCGTATTAATCGTCAAGTGCCAATAAATAATCGATTAAAGTTTTTCCTGACGATTAATTGCACACGATATAATTTTGCCCAACCCTACAGTGTGCTCTAAAAATGAATCCACCCTGAAACCAGATGAAGCTTCTACTGAGCAGACAGCATGAGTGAGCACGATCAGAGTGGCTGTCCCTGATTGTAGCATCACTACAATGGTGATAAATTACCAAACTCTGTCATAAAAAAACCCTTCCCTGTCTTTGTTTTTCTGTTTAATTTGCTGATGATGCAATGAATTCTGGGATACCGTCGGCCACACAGGAAACTCAGATGCAGTCTACGTTTTCAGGGTTTTGTCTGCTGAGTAGGTGCATATGAATTGGGACAGTCTACGACGCGGGGCAGTGACAAAAGCGACTGACAAATGTGGCCGTCAGCTGCAACCCATGAGTTGAGTCACAGCCCACCAAATCACCTGGATTTAGATTCAGTTTTAAAATTAGAGTTAAAGTGAAAACTGCAGAGGATTTATATTTGTCCAGATTTTTCATATGTAAATATAGCTTTTACTTTTAAATCCTGGTTTAAAATATTTTATTTTTTAAATTTTTTTATTGAAGACCACTGATATAAATTAACGATTCCTAATCTTTTTTTCTTAAAAGCCCCTTTAAGAAAAGAGGCTTCATAAGACCAATATGCAACAGGTTTAATGTTGCATATTGTTGCATAACGACACACAAATAACCTTTTCATTTCATAAGTCACTCCTCATTTGACTTATTCTAACAGCGTGCAGAAGATGCTGCATCTGTTTATGTCAGCTCCTCAGTCTGCAGCAGGGTGCAGCCTGTGGTCCAGGACAAAAACCAGGGACCTAGTTTTATATTTTTCTTAAGTGAAAATTAGAGGACAAATTTGCAGACAAAACGAAAAATCTGGCTAATGGATTCAGAAATGCCTTCCTGGACATGATTCTGCTCTTCATTTATTAAAACCCAGAGTTTAATGTGAGATGTTCTGCTGTGATTGTGGTTGAAGGTCATATTTATTTTGTGCAGCGAGGTCACCCACATTCTAACACAGAGACACATCTGCTCACCTGCTGAACTTAATGTTTGCTCCGGGGGAGGATTAGAGCTTTATGCTTCATGAATATGACTCAGACGGAGTAAAAAGCAGCTGGAAGCACTGATCTGAAGCATCTAAAACCTCTGAGTCGTTTCTTTACTTAAACATTCATTGTATTTACATTTTTTCATAATAATTTTGTGTCTTCTTGCAGGTTTAAAAAGCGGGTATTGATCCAGCAGCTGGAGGACGCCCTCGCCGAACTGGAGGAGAACCAAACAACATGCTCCCAGGTCACCAATCATCATGGGACGTAGCCTCTGGAGAAACAAACAAGACTCCTGAAGTGTTTGTTGTGCTGCTGCTGCTGCTGGGTTTTACCACCAGTGAAGAGTCAGAGGACACGCTGTGTCAGAGTTTACCTGCAGGAAGGGCCTCTGACATGAATACAGACATTAAAAATACAGCCTTAAACATCTATATGGCTCTTAATCACTCACTCACACACTCACACACACACACACACACACACACACACACACAC